TTTGCTTTTCTTTCGAATACATAAATGTCTTTATGTTTAAAAAGAGAAACACATAATCCCTACAGAATGCCCAACACGGCAAAATTGAAAAGTTTGCTGGCTTTGTTTGATAGAGCCTGTTGATGGACGGTACTGGAAAGTGTAATTTAGCGTCCACACATACTAGCACCGGCTTTAGCATAATTCAACATTAAACATGAAAGGCAACATTTTGAATTATGAAACATTTGCAGATGTATTAATATGGCAGTCATCATTGGACCTTCAATATGACTCGCTAGTGCAATTCCACAAAAAGCGAAATATGGTCGACAAGTTAAACAAATGGACGTAAGTTATCATCACTTTGTGCAAAAAACATCGAAGGGCATGGATGGTGGCATGCTTGTGTCCCTTTTTGACATCGAAAGCTGTACCTTTACGGACAAATGGACACTAATTAAACATCAACAATAGAATAGTTATATATAAGTAGTCCTGGGTAGACCAAATGAATCGAGCAGCATGATGCACGAGGGTTGTCCCAAAAGTCCGTGAAATATTACTATGTACCAGATGCTGAAAAAAGTTTCACTGTTGTTTCTGACACAATGTACTAGCAGTAATAATGTTGCTTCTGTCAGAATGTACCAGCTGATGAAAAAAAGTATCCCTGCTGTTTCTGGCTGAATGAACCAGCTGTTGAAACAGTATACCTGCTGTTTCTGTCAGAATGTACCAGCTGTTGAAAAAGTATCACTCGTGTTTCTGTCAGAATGTACCAGCTGTTAAAACAGTATCACTGTTGTTTCTGTCACCATGTACCAGCTGTTGAAACAGTATCACTGCTGTTTCTGTCAGAATGTACCAGCTGTTGAACACTATCACTGTTGATTTGTCTGAATGTACGAACTGTTGAAACAGTATCACTGTTTTTTTTCCCTCTAATAATGTATTTGATATTGAAAGAGTATCACTGTTGTTTCTGTCATAATGTACTTACTGTTGAAACAATATCACTGTTGTTATTGTCATAATGTACCAGCAGTTGAAACAGTATCACTGCTGTTTCTGTCAGAATGTACCAGCTTTTGAAACAGTAACACTGTTGTTCCTGTCGGAAAGTACAAGATGTAGAAACAGTATCATCATTGTTTCTGACAGAATGTACTAGCAGTAATACTGTTGTTTCTGTCAGAATGTACTAGTAGTACTACTGCTGTTTCTGTCAGAATGTAGCAGATCTTGAAACAGTATCCCTGTTGTTTCTGTCAGAGTGTACCAGCTGTTGAAACAGTATCTTTGTTGATTCTGTCATAATGTACCAGCTGTTAAAAAGTATCACTGTTGTTTTTGTCAGAATGTACAACCTTTTGAAACAGTTTCACTGTAGTTCCTGTCAGAATGTGCCAGCTTTTGAAACAGTTTTCCATTTTGTTTCTGTCATAATATACCAGATGGCGGAAAAGTATCACTGTTGTTTCTGTCAGTATGTACCAGCTGTTGAAACAGTATCACTGTTGTTTCTGTCAGAATGTACCAGATGTTGAAACAGTATGACTGTTGTTTCTGACAGAATGTACTAGCAGTAATACTGTTGCTTCTGTCATAATATACCAGCTGTTGAAAAAGTATCACTGTTGTTTCTGTCAGAATGTACCAGCTGTTGAAACAGTAACACTGTTGTTTCTGTCAGAATGTACCAGATATTGAAACAGTATCACTGTTGTTTCTGTCAGAATGTACCAGATGTTGAAACAGTATCACTGTTGTTTCTGACAGAATTTAATAGCAGTACCACTGATGTTTCTGTCAGAATATACAAGCTGATGAAACAGTATCCCTGTTGTTTCTATCGGAATGTACCAGCTGTTGAAACAGTATCCCTGTTGTTTCTGTCAGAATGTACCAGCTGTTGAAACAGTAACACTGTTGTTTCTGTCAGAATGTACCAGATCTTGAAACAGTATCACTGTTGTTTCTGTCAGAATGTACCAGCTGTTGAAACAGTATCACTGATGTTTCTGTCAGAATGTTCCAGCTGTTGAAACAGTATCACTGTTGTTTTCTGTCTGAATGTACCAGCTGTTGAAACAGTATCACTGTTGTTCTGTCAAGATGTACCAGCTGTTGAAACAATATCACTGTTGGTTCTGTCAGAATGTACCAGTTGTTGAAACAGTATCTCTGTTGTTTCTGTCAAAATGTACCAGCTGATGAAACAGTATCACTGTTGTTTCTGTTCTTATGTACCAGCAGTAGTACTGCTGTTTTTTGAATATGCATAAGTATATACAATTGTGGTGTTTATCCTTATCTTTTCCATGATAACTATTATTTCTGTGTTGGCTCTTTTAATTTGTCGATGGCTCGATCGCATGTTAATAAATGTATTTCATTTTTGACAAAGCTCTTTGAAATACTTTGTTTTGAGTCAAACTTTAGGTTGGCACAATGGTACATGCACGATTAATTGAGTCAACATTTACTTTTGGTAGAGACATCAATCAAGATGTGTCTCCTCGTGAAAGGAAATACACACGTCAATCTTTGGTTAAAGTTCTACCAACGTCATTTTGGAGTATTTCGTATCGAAAAAGAGACTAAAAAGAATACACATAAACCAAAGACAGTTTAAAAAGCATGCATCAGAGGAAAGTCAGTTGTATTGAAGTTGGTAGTATCTTTTCAAATACATTTTGAATAAATCAATATCAATCAAAATAACAATATTGCAAAATAATACATGTTTGCTTTTCTTTCGAATACATACATGTCTTTATGTTTAAAAAGAGAAAAACATAATCCCTACAGAATGCTCAACACGGCAAAAATGAAAAGTTTGCTGGCTTTGTTTGATAGAGCCTGTTGATTTTTTGCAAAAAGAATCAAAGGGCATGGATGGTGACATGCTGGTGTACCTTTTTGACATCGAAAGCAACTTTTGTGCCTTTACGGACAAATGGACAGTCATTTAACATCAACAATAAAATAGTTATCTACAAGTAGTCCTGGATAGGCCAAATGAACCGAGCAGCATTATGCACGAGGGTTGTCCCAAAAGTCCGTGAAATATTTTCTTGATTGTCAATTTTGTTACACCAATAGATACTTATTCACACAAAGTTTATTATTTTACTTTACATCAAATCATTTACAAAATATCTATTACAGTTACTTAAACAATTTAGTATTATAGACATTGCTTTAAGTTCCCGGCGCACGTCAAATAATTTGCATTTTGTTATGAATAGGCTTAAATAAATTACGTATATATTTCAAATATCTGATGTGTCTGCACAATATTACGTTGACTTCTTCTGCTGCTATGTTTACATCATCTCAGAAAATTTCAGTTGAATTACTTAAGAAACGAACAAGACACGGAAAAAGGAAAATATCTCATAGAAAAAGGTAAGTTAAAATGGCCACGCAGCGAACAGTTTACAGGTTCTGTGAGTATTTCGGGATGACACCTACTAATGCTCTGAAAAGAACAGTTAAGCAACATATCCCGAACATGTGTTTACAAAAGACATGAACGTAACCAGAGTTCTGCATTATAAAATCGAAAATAAGGGAAAAAAATGAATAGGGAGACAGGGAGTCATCAATATCATACAGATAAAGCAAGTGCAACGAGGCCGGAAGTTCGCTTATAGCAAGAAATCAATTTATGTCACCAACAAAGAATAACAACCGCATGATTTTAGTCTGTAATTGGCGATTTATGGGAAAAGCTGCATCGTGTCACGGAGTGTATTTATTAATGAAGATTTCAAACGCTGCCTTTGACTTTTGGTGAGCGCTGCGAAAGTTCCCATGGTATTTATGGCATTATTTGTTGTTTATTGCTATTTTCCTATGTAAAACTGTGAAATTGCTTCCATTATATGGGTTTATAATATACACATGTATTAAACTCGTGCCTATTTTATTTAAGTTTTGAACAATCTTGTCACAGAATATTGGGACAATCCACGTATATGCTTTTTGGAGATATGTCAAATATAAAAATTCTTGACCTCGTAGTTTCTTGCTAAATGTAGATGTAATTTCAACTCATGTTGCCGTCCATGTTAAAAAGTTACCATCTAGACTGTGTGAAATAATGTTCAAGAATTAAAATTTAATAGAATAATATGTGTAAGGAGATTAGGCGTAAATAGATAATGTGACCGATGGGTCATTAATGATTTAAACATTTAAAACAAAGAAAGAAGGGTTAAAAAAGAACATGCACACACACGCACGTGCCTCAAAAAATTCTAAGAGTATTGTATTTCTTACCTAGTTTGCGCTGCTGATAGTTGTCTTCTGCTGGCAATTGTTTTTCTATTTTACCTATTTTGACATTAACAGTTTCCAATTCTTCTTTGTTTTCCGAAGTACGTTTTCTATTTTCAGCAAGTTCCTTGGTATGCGCATCAATAGTCTGTTTCAATACTTTTGTATCTGTTTTCAAATTGTCTAAATCAGTTTCAACTGATTTGTCAAATTTGTTCCATTTTTCAATTTCATCTGTTACCCTCTTCTCTGTTTCGGGATCAAGAATACTGGATTTAAAATCAGTAATCGTCTGGCGAAAGTCTTTGATTGGATACACCTTATCAATTCTCAGGAGGATCTATAATGTAGGCATGGTTTTTTTAATACTTTAGAGATAATCCTCAAATATGTGTACAGATAGCTGTCATTTATTAAACGAATCAAAGGTACAGTATTTTCTAATTGTTATTTAGGGACTTAAGAAGAGCAAATGTATGTATTAACTCATAGACACGAAAATCGCACAGTAAGTATAGTAAGAGTAATGTTTTATCACTGGGCAGTGTTCTCAATAAAAAATGTAAGCTATAATTGTAACGCAATATAATATATTAATGCATTTAGGCAAAGAAGAATAACAAGGAAGATATAAACAATATATTATTTTGTTTGTTTAAGGCTAAAATGACTGTGCCTTTTTTCTTTGGTTTCTTCTACAAATGACTTCTATTTCACTATTTTGCATACTTTGAAATAAGCAAACTACACTGCTCTAAGAGAAAAATATTGAATTATGTCTGCTTCCATTATTCAATATGTAAAGTCAGAAACAAGATATAATTTATCTTATACCTGTTCGATTTCTTGCCACTTGTTTATAAAGTCATTATGTTGTATTCCTGTAGTGGTCGATATATGGCAAATCTGAGGATATAAAAAGTAATTATCCTAGAAACAAATGTCTTATACTGAAATATATACAAAATATTTTGATTAAATATACTACATCCGCCGCCTATGGTTTATCAACTAATACTGACTACCGTCAAAACTGATAATAGATTAAATGCTGATACATTTACGTTGATTTACTATTGAATATAAAAGTATCCTCTGAAAACTTACTTCGTTCCTGAAGAGCTTCAGCCTACAAATGTCTGCCTCGATGGAAGTATCACTTTGTACTGGTGGAATGTTCCAATTAAACTTTGAGTTTAATCTGAAAAACTTCAGATTTCTCACAAGACAAATGATAAGTGTGATGTCCAAATCTGACGTTGAAACAGTGCCACTTGATGGATACAATAAATCATATTGCACCTGTGTTATTATCTTTTTTCCCTTTAGTAGTTTGATTCTTGCCTTTTCATAAGCAAGGCATGTACTTAGTGTTGATGATTGGGCTGCAAGTTCCTGATCTACATAATTTCTTAAACTTGTAAGTCCGCCATCTATAATAAGTATTTGTAGGCGGAATAGGAAGATACGATTATCAGCTATCTGTGTCGAAGATGATGTACCAGGTTGGGAAGCCGACATGACCAGACATTACATATCAGTTTATTAAAATGATGTCACACCTGTAAAAGAAAACGTATAATTGTTTACATTTGCCCTAGTATCAATGTTCGAGTACATCAATAAGCGTTTGAGTTTAAAATATATATTTGACATGACATGTCCTAGCTTTTTTTGCAATGACCTGTTCGATACAAGTCATTTATTCTTCATTCTCATTCTAGCACGCTCAGTGGACTGGGTTAATTAACCGAACAAGCCTCTGCAAATTTCTTTTGGATCCAGTAATCTGAGACAATAATGCTGCCCTGAACAGACGAGAATAAATAATAAAGCTACTTTGAGCACACACTTTAATTATTTCAATTTGTGTTTTAAAGTAGCAAACGGTAGAGCGTTCTTGTTGTTTTATATTTATACATGTATATTTATATATTTATGTTTATATATTTAGGAACATATCTGTAAAATGTGTTTTCAGTTAAATGCTTGTATTTCAAATTGATAAAATACGACAATCAATATAGTGTTACAAGGTAGGCAGAAAGAAAGTGTCCGGGAATAGAATTAAGCGGCGTATATAGATAAAAATACAACTGTTCAACATATCTTGTTACAGATTTGTTTATATACTTGCATACACATATGATTAATATATATTACTTGAACAAGTACATGTACTTATTTTCAATCTAAATGTGGACTTTAAAAGGGTTATTTCATTCATCTGAATTGCAATATTATGTATTGGAGGGAGAGCCGGTGCTAGTTTGTGACCCGGTAATGCGCCTTAGGTTAAAGTCAAATACTTCTTCTGTTTTCTGTTTGGTTTTAAATAATATCTGTACCTAGGAGTTGTTGTAGTATACAACAATATAATTCAAACACGTCAGGACCTCTTTTACAGTCACACGTAAAAGTGAGCACGCAAATACAAATGTCATATTTTTGCTCCATTGTACTACAAGACGTTTTATGGTTTTAAGTTGTTTATTCAGTTTTCATGAATAATACTATACATGTATTACAACATTGATCAAAAGTGTGTTTAATCATTTTGCTTAAAATGTGTATTCTGCTGTTTATTTTTATATCCGTTTACCGCTATAAGTCCAAACAGCCGATTTACTTTAAGCTAATGTGATCGATATTCATAAAGATAAAACTAACCATTGATCACGTCAAGTAGTGTATGTATTGCTTTTCTTCAAATAAATCTTTTTAGGTATTTTTTTCTTTTCACGTCGGTATTCAATTTGTGTAAATAAAACTATTAGATGTTTTTTATTGACATAAATTATATATGCAATTATCAATCTCAATACAATATGTATGCCTGAACAAAGACTATGGAAGGAATCGTGATATTCAAAGCGTAAACAATCGTAAGATGCCTCAAAACATTTTTTTCTAATGTCGATATCACATGTCAACTGAGCATAAGTTTATAATACTTTACCGAAACGATCATTTTGATAATACACAAACCGAGCTATCATTAAACAAAAAAAATGGATCACAATAATTCATACACAGTTGAAATGCATTGGTTTACCGTTAATAATGTTAAATCTTACATATCTTGTGTTGGATAAAACAACTAATAAACCATAAAATAGGTACCAGATTAAAGTTTGACTGTTTGAGAAGCCGGCTATACGTAATAGTTTTTTTTGCAAATCATGTTGTATTGGTTATTTTTTGCCGAATAAAGGATTAGTAAGTTTTTATTATTTCCATCAGTTCAAAAAAAGCGGACAAGAAATTGCCATCAGGCGGGCGGACGCCTGACTGTGTGCAAAATATCATAACCCCAAGAACAAAATAGGCGTATAATACTATGTCTCTGTTTGTGTTTTTAAATTAGCAATTTCGTGATCGATCTGTGTTCTATCAAAACAATCATGGTGATCTTAAAATCAAATCATATTCACATCAGGTTTTAAAAATTGTTATCCAATATGACTTTGTGTCTAATTATTAATCAAATGAGTACACAAATAACACAATAAATGATACAGAATTAAAATAAGACACTAGAGTTTGATTTTATTTTTAAGTAATCACATGTATTATTCAAATCCGTTCATTTATAACATTTTTTTTTCTCAAATTTTATGAACCATTTGCGAAGCTGAAGTAAAAAACTGACTTATCACACACCCGTGCCGATTTTGCGACTCCGTTAATATGGTATTGCACGGCCGTGCATATATTTTGACGTGACGTCATTAGCGTTATACAAACATAGTGTAAAGACGCGCTAAATGTTATCGTTATACTTACGGCGCGTCAATGAAAATGACTCTTATTTCACTTTAAACGGTCTTTATTTTGGGTGTGTGATAAATAGAATATTAAATTCGTATAAGTTCATTACTGAATTTATTGCACTCGTGGAATAAAATGATATTATGCTCGCCAGAGGCTCGCATAATATAATTTTATTCAACTCGTGCAATAAATTCTGTATTGAACTTACACTCATTCAATATCCTCTATTTATTACATTTAATTACTTTGCCATTGTGATGTTTAGAGAATATATCATATAAGTCACTTTAGAGCAAAGGTATGGACATTTTAGGGAAATTCAATTCGAAGTCATTTTTAATCTTAATCTCTGGTTAAATTAACCTATACCTAAATTATGCCATAAGTCCTGTTTCTTTTCTTTATTTTGGAATAAGCCCATAATGTTATTGTAATATAAAGGTCTTGTGCCAGTTAAATAGTTTTTTTCCAAAAAGTTGTTATGTTAAAGTATGATACAAAACACGAATTATTTAAATACTACTGTCAGATCTAGTAACGTTCAAAGAATTGACCTTTAGGTTCAGTAAATGTCGTATTCCGTACAATAAATTCAAACATACCTCCTGTTATTTCCTCCTCTTAATTTCCTCATAATTGAATGAGCGGTTTTGGCCATTTTAAGACAATTCTATAATTTTACTATGTCAGTTTAAACGTTTTATTTATCACTTTTTGTAGTGACTTTGAATGAATTTCACGGCATATTGACGTGCCTAGTGGTAATGATTGTTCAAGTAATAACTTTATGTTATTAAAATAATGCTAAGTTACCAATTGTAAATACAGTGTTTACATACATTTGTATTAATTGTTTATATATAAGAACAACCATGTGTCGAATGAAATGTTTGGATAAATTTGCCCCAAATCAAAAAATAATTTTTGAAGAATATTTCAGTGGTCAACATGGCACAGAAGAATAAAATAAAGTAAATATAAAATAAGTACAGTAAATCACCAATCAAATTGTATGAAAAGAAATATCACCGTAAATAACAAACCACTATTCAAATCATGGGCTTTGCTTAGTAAAAGAAAGAGCATTGAAACACGAGGCTGATTTGTACGAGGGGGCGTAATCCCCGAGCCGAGTGTTTTGATGTTATTTCTCTTTTGTTTCATAGTCAACATAAAAACACGTTCCCTGTTGTCACCATATGAAACAACGAAAAGGAACCAATCAACGAGCAAGTCTGCACCCCAGTTAACGCACTGTGCATGTATATGTATACGATTTCTCTCTTACACGCACATAAAGGTCCCAAGACTATGATACAAGGTCTGATAGACTCCGGGTTATTTTCAATGTTTCCTACATGATGTTAGACCGGTTTTAAATTATAATCATATTTAGAAAGAAATAGGACAGATTGTACCAATTGTTTTGTTGGCCTGATACATTGATAAGAAGAAATCCCCCCAGAAAGCATCAAATGTGCAGCAGGTAACGGAAACTACATCCTGAATTATTCTACCTTGACATTAGTTTATTACTCATGATACTTCACGTTTGTAACGTCACTTTACATTGGATAATAATGACGTTTATATAGTTTGATATAATATACACGACTGCTGTCAATTTATGAAGAAATCTCACTTTTTTTCTCCAAAAAGAAGTCTTGCTGTATTATAAATTCGTCATAAATATTTCAGACAGGTTATACTGAAGTATATAAACGCCTAGTGGATTGGGTCATATTTCCAAACAACCGTTTATATAGGGCCATAAAACACACATGTTCTGACTTTTTTCAGAATGATAATTAACTTCGATTCCATTTGTTCTATAAATCTCTTGATTTTGAAAATGATCTATTTCAACAAAAATTAAGATGACCTCTTTTCTTGCAAATACATTTTATTACCACATTTTCACAGAATAATCTAAATATGTCAATTTCGTGATTGAAAGGCGGGATTCTTAAAAAATCAAATTTTTTCGGCAATCTTGACATCAAAGCTATATAAGTGACCCGTTGTGTATTTGTTTAAAGCTTTTTTTATATTATTTTATACTTTTGACTTTAAATTACTCGGGAATTTTATGAACTTCCTATTACATTTCTATTTAGGGCGATGCTCCTTTGTCCTACACAGAATGCGCATGCGCGAGAAAATACTACATTCGGTTGATTTTTCATAGCAACGGACTGCGTTGTAAAGACAGACGTTAGGTAGCGAAATTTCAGACCCTTATGTTCTTATTTTCAAATGCCGAAAGTAGTCCAAACTCCTCTAAGCGGTTGCTTCCCTTCATATGTACATTAACGGCGAAAAATTAAGGGAAGATCACTGCGTAAAGATTGTCAAATGACAGGCGCATTAATTTTCGTAACGAGAAAATATTTCCCAATTGGTCGCAGATTTCTAATGTTGTGTTATTCTTATAAATATACATTCTTATATTCAGCTCCATGATTATTTACTTTTGTGTTAAACAACAGGTTCACCGTGAACAAAAAATATAGAAATTAATAAGGGTTACAAAATCGAAGTTAATTATCGTTCTGAAAAAGTCAGAACATGTGAGGCCATCCATAAAAAATTGTTTGTTTGTAGTGCTCCGACCGACCCATGAAAATGGCCCCGACTCTAAAAAATTTTTACACCTTCGAGGATTTTTTTTTTTTTTTTTTTTTTTTGAGATCATTATGTACCCATTCTGTTAAAAAGATCTTTCTCCAATAACTTTTCAGACAAATTTTGAACTGAGA